TAGTAGTAACAAGAAGCTAGTAGTAACAGGTGCCACGCTAGTAGTAAGTGTTTCGGCGTTTGGAGCAAACAAATGCGTCTGCTCGCAAGAACGACGAGTCAATTGCTCAAATGATCTCAAATGTTCTGAGCCAATTTCATCATGGTTTGCTTTCACCACACAGCTCTCAAACCGAACTGAAAGGCCCGGAATGACCAACTCACACTCTCAGGGCGGGGCTGCTGGTGGTCGGGAGAGGGGCATCGCCCTTCTGCTTCTGCCGCCGCGCTTCCAAGACTTTCCGCGCGCTCTCTGTACGAGATTCGGTTTCTGGCCGGGGCAGACTAGTGACCTGCTGCACCCCTGGGACCTGGGACAACTATTGTTGTCCTGGGAAACTTTTCATGAAATCCAATTTAGCACAACTTGAGCATAATGTGAACGTAATTCGAACGCAATTCAGAGACGGTTTGTGGAAAGGGACGTGAGTGGTTTGCATCCAAAAGATTCCAAAAGGACGTAAACGTCAATGCAAAACGTAAAAATACTTGAAAGCTCTGACAAGAACACTTCTGGATTTGGACCACAATGGGCGTCTCAGGGTTGCAACAGGTAGTTTGGGGTAAAGTCGGTAAAGTTGCAGGAAACCTGTGGGAGGCTACAAAAACCAGGGCAGTTCCTAAAATCTAGTGTGCGAGGGAAAATGCAATGATACAAGAGCCGTCTATAATATCGAAAAAACAAACGAGAATGATCCATTTACCTCGTATATTGTATATATATATACTCTTTTGTAGTCGTGACGGGCACCCATGAAAGTGGACTACCTACTGTACCACTTTGCTGTCCTACGTACCACATTACCACCGTTGCGCATGGTCACATGGACATGTCCCGGCTGCAAACCATCCTCCCGCCACGCTTTGCCACACGTTGCCTGCAACTGCATTGGCATTAACAATCCGCTGCATGCCCTGCATCCCTGACAGGTGAGCTGGCTGGGAGGCTGGTCAGGCACGAACACCTGACTGGTGTGTAAAGGCTATCTTCCAAACAAGGAAGCCGGTGTTGCACATTGGAACATTTTTGTCATGTCTTTTTCTGCGACCTTCGTGACCTTCGTGTGGCTGGGTTTACAGTTGCTCATGTGCTAACTTGATTCATCACATCATCCCAGGAGGGACAGGGCAGGAGGGACAGGGGCGAGGTACAAGCCTTGGAACCTCTCCAGTGATGGCAAAACCTTGAAGGGCTGGCATCTCTACATAGAGCCCATGTATTTGTTGTCTTGGCCGCTTCTGTCTTGCAGGAATACTTTGCAGCAGCTCCTGCAGTCATCGTGCCAGCTCCCATCACCGTATTTCCTGAGCCGCAGGCGCCGTGTTCCGTACTGGTCCAACGGCACCCACCAGGTCAACGAACGCAATACTTGAAGGGGAGCAGAGGGGACACCGGTCGTGAACATGTCGCCCCCCTGAACTTAATCTGTTTTGTGCCAGGTCGTCATCACATGTTGAATTTGATTATATAATGATACGAATTGTGTTTCAACTGACAGTTTCACCGTACAAATATGTCAGGGCCTCAAAAAATCATAGAAATATATATAATGAAATATATAAGTTATAATGCATTGGAGGCCTGGGGGCTCCTTCGTCATCTTGCTCTACGTATATAATACACCCCCATGACGACGTGTCCCTGACCACCGTCGACGTCGCCCAGGCTCGTTTGGAGTAGTTGGGAAGGGCCAGCTGCTCGGTGGCCGCAGAGCTCACCGTTGGCGAGTTGCCGCCACCTAGGTGGCAATCTACCATTCCTCAAGACTCATTCCTCTAAGACTCTAAGCATATGACAACTTCACAAAACCAACGCCACCACTCCTGATGATTTGGTCCCCTCCCAACTGAAATGCTGTGTCAGCCGCTTGGAGGAGTCATTTTGGTGCTTGGCCTCGCTATCCGACATGAGATGCACACAGAAGATACGCACTCACAGGACGCTCCTAGAAATGCTGCCATAGAGAAACAGTGGGACCACAATGCTCATGGCTCCATCCATAGTGTTCCATATCCACTTTTGGAGCAAGTCAGGTTGCGTTTCCTGGCCTCCTCGGGGTCGCCATGTCGCTGGCAGGGCCAAAGCCCCAAAGGATTTGGGATGATTTGAGGGAACAGGGGTCAGCCTCGGTGTCGTAGAGGGAGAGGGGAGCGTGGGACCCTTGATGTCGCTTGCATTAGGAAGCCCCAACAAACACCTGAAATCAACACCAGTGAATCTGGTGAATCTATTTGAAGATGCAGTCAAGTCAAATGAGGACATCTTTGGCTTTCATGATCGCTTCGTGGTTGCCTTGCCAGGCGCCAGCAGCATCACTTTTTCTCCCGAACGCAGCTGAATGCTGGAGCCAAACGGCGTCCGTCCTGAGAAACTAGAAGATATTTTTGACATTCTTTGCAACTAGCTGTCGATACTGGTGTTTGATTCATTTGGAGACCCTTGACCGTCCACTGATGCACCCCGATGTCAAAAAGCCAACAAATTGAAGAACCACCAACAAACTCAGCCAGCTCAGCCACACCGGCGCCAAAAGGACTGGAGAGTCCAGGTGGGACAAACATATGATGAAATATGCAAATGGGCTCGTTCCCCAGTTGGATGCCTACTCAAGGCATCGTTCTGCGACAGCAATTGTTGCACAAACTTTAGCGACCGATAGCCTCAAAAATGCTCGATCATTTTGACAAACGCATCAAGAACCTTCAAGCTGCACCTGGAACAAAGCCACCAAACCAAGAGTTCCAGTACTGTATCGCAATGCTTGAAACAGGCTAAACCCGCAAACCTGCTTAGTCCACTTGGTTGCTAGAATTTACATGCGTTTCCCGCGTTTCCTGTGCCCCAAAAATGCACCACCAATGATGTGAGTGAAACCAATACTTAAAGCAATACCACTGTTTCTCCACTGAGGTCTTGACTGCAAACTTCTGAATGCGCCTGCCAGGCTGGGCGATGTTGTGTACAAGAACTATACATATATATATATATATACTTGTCAGGCAAATCATGTGCACATCATTTCATCATATTTCATCATCATCATCATCATCATCAGCAGCAGCAGCAATATCCTGGCCGTCCATCCTCAGCAATAGGCCGAGGCAATGAACTGAGGTCCTGGTGAAGCCAAACTCCTTGAGACGCAACTTTTTCGCCCGAGCGACTCAAGTGGCCCCTGTCTGGTGCCATAACCAATCTTTTCTTCATTGGCCACGTGGAGAGGGACAACTGTCTACAAAGGGTATGCCTCTCCAGAGCTATATATTGCTTTGGAAGCTTGCATGCAACATCATGCAAAAAAGGTCTAGTCTAGCTTCTCCAAGACGGCTCCATGGTTTGTCCTTTTTTTGAATTGCCGGGGGGTGGGGAAAGAACCGCTGGTCAGTGCGAGTGTTTTCATTGCCAATTGTTCCCTCTCATGTCTCAAGTCCTGGCCGTGGGCAATTCGGCCAGCTCGCCCGAGGGTGAAACGCGCCGGCACAGCGCAATGGCCTGCCATAAGGGGCGAACGGATGGCCGAGAAAACATATCCACCGCGTACTGTACGAATGTGTGGATCAAAGACATCTGGAGGGGCCTGAAACTGGGGAAAGATACCCTAGCTTAATGCCCAGGGTGGTGGTCTGAAGGTCAACGAAACTTCCAGCTGATGGCCGGAAAAATGAGAGTTGGAACTCCAGTGGTTTGCGGAGCCCCTTCTGAGACAAACACTTGTTTGAGAGTTGTTTCTGCAACAAATGCAAATTTAGAGCCATCCCACTGAATGGTTCTTCCAAGGTGCCTATGAAATAGTGAACAAAATTGGACACTGACCTTCGCAAGGCAAAATCCCCTGAGTTTCCCTTAAACATGCTTCCACATATTCAATATTACAATATAACCTTTTGCCATGTGTTGACTTGCAGCAGCAGAAGGGCAACCAATTCCAGCCACCAAAAGTTCCAGATTTGCCACCGACTCGGTAGGAATCACTTAATGCCGTGCTCAACCTTCTCTCTGCCAGGCCTCTAGAAGTAGCGGCCTCCGCGCGTCTGCCGGTGCGCTTCCCGGTGCATGTTGGGCGGCGGCGGGCCCTGACTTCCGTAGCCTCCATTGGGCTGGAAGCCAGCGATGCTTAGAATTGCGATGAATTGGGTCCGAGAAAAGACAACACCTTAAGCCTTAAGCAATCTTAATTAAGCAGCTTTGGGTCCGCAAACAACTCTGGGTGTGATGTATATGATATGTGATAGACTAATAGATGTGATACAAGTACATCCAAGCCGTGGAAGAATTTTGTGGTTGAGAAAATCTATTGCAGGTGTTGTGGGTGGTCTTGAGAGCAAACCCGGCGTGTTGTCATAGTATGTTCCTTGAGGCTATGTGGCACACATCCCTCCATCTACTGACATGTGATGACTTGAAATCTTTGCAGGGTAAGGCCACGAGTCGAAAGATTGAAACTCTGAGCCTGCAAGATCCTGGAGACAGGGTGTCCGACATCCGAGGATCGCCTCTCCAATTAGTCCCTTTCCCATAAATCGCGCGAGTTGGGCCACCTGGGGCCACCAGGCTACCTGGAGGAATCTCATGAGTTGTGACAGGACAGAAAATGGGCTCCTGGTCCAACACCAAGAAGTCCTTAATTTGACCAAGCGCATCCAAACACCGCACACAACTCTACAAGCCTCACTCTCACTGGGTGAAAAGGTTTTCATGGAGGGCTGCTTGTGGATAATCCTCAACCTCACTTGATTGGCCCAAAAAAAAAAGACTCTGCAAACGAGCCGTTTTGAGCCTGGAGCCGACATGGCCCAAAACGGCTCAAGCCTGGCATCTGGAAGTGTGGCATTTGGGGCATGTGGATGTTCTGCATGAAGCTCGAAGTCGCTTCCTTGCGCCCAGCGTGGCCCAGCGTGAGACATGGGATTCTTTACCAAGAGCCGGGATGCACACTTCGCTGCTGTCCCCAGGGCCCCAGGCACAACAAATCGGGGAGAGCTGGCACACTCTTGGACCAAACAAAACATGTGACATTGGTCAGATCTTGCAGTGAGTTTTGAGTTGTCGGCAGTTTATGGAAGCTGCTCCTTCCAAAGGAGGCTGGGCTTCGAGGGGGACATCTTCCAAAAATGTCCATGTCCAATCTATATACACCTGGCCCTCAAGAGCAAGTTTCAGATCATGCTGCTGGTCACCCAGCACAGCACACGATTCGCCACGATAGCTGACAGCAACTGATCATCCAGTGATTGATTCAGCCAAACCTGTCCAAAACTATTGTCCGCTCTGCACGTTCGGGGTTTCAAATCGAAGGCGGACGCAAAATGCTGCCGGGGCACTTGCCCATGTTGTGCCGCCGGCGAATAGCCGTGCAATTTGGGATCCTGCAAGTGACCAAATAACAAATGTGATTAAATAACAAGGAGATACAAATAGAACATTGTGCTCCAAAACAATCGCTCCAGGAAAGGGTTGGATGAACTCCAGGCACCCGCTGCACCAGCCCGGGCTCCAGGTGTCTGGCTTCTGGAACAAAATCTGCACTACTTCTTCCGATGCCCTGCACCTGCCACGAACTTTAATCTCTTAGATCCAAGCACAAGCAAGCAAGTGAGCAAGGAAGCATGCAAGCAAGAACGCAAGAGCGCAAGGAACCAAGGAACCAACGAACCAGCCGACCAAAGAAACAATAAAGCAAACCACACGACCACATTTCGGAGACAGTGACCTCAAGGACGGGAACCCAAAGCACCCGTGGGAACTAACACCGGGAGGAAACAAAAGACCCTTTCTGTGAACAAAAAAACACAGGAAAAATAAGCCAATATGGGGAAGAAAACTCACTGGGAACATCCAAGTCCATGATACCATCGTGTTTATGATTTTCATGACCCAACCCTGCTGGAGAAATCTGGAGAATGCCCACCACAAAGCCTCGCCGCCCACGCCTGACCATGGCCTGGCGTCGACCAGGCTTGCCGCAAATTGCCGCCGTGACGAGCACGGCGCTTGGCTCGTTCCTGGCGCAGGCTGTAAGAGTTACCCAGTAACTGGAAGCTACTAGGTGGAGACCATCGCTATTAGGTTGGGAAGCCATCGCTTCTAGTAACTAGAAGCTTTCTTTTTCCTTTCTGAAAGAGTTACCCACTGCTTCCTCATCTCATCTCGATGTTCTCCGCGCTCAATGGAGTTATATACCCCCCACTGTGCAACAACCTCTTATGGAACACCTTCGCGGACTGAAATGCCATGACCTCCGGACCACTCGAATGCCTTGCGGCCATCGGCCCAGCTCGGGCGCTCCGGCTCCCTCGAGCTCGCTGCCTCCAGGCCCATCCAAACAGCAGCTCCGATCACTGAGAGGCACAGGCACAATGCAGCAAAGAGCACCATGTTGATCCACCAAGGCCATGCCGATCCTCTATCCCAACATGAAACTGGTCTGACTAGTCCACCTGGTTGAAAGCTGTTGAGTTAATTCTTGAGTGTCAAACAAGGCCGGTACCCACATGAAAGCCAATTGAATATGGATGGCAGTTCAATGATTGAACATGGAAGCCGACCCGCATAATTATTCTTCCCGCACACGATCAGGACTCGCAACCCCTGTACATAGCCACGTGCATCAATCAAACACTCAGGCTCTGGCATATTTTCCGAAGAACCCCCACGCCTTTCTGAGCAACGATTCATGCAAAAAACACACGTGGTGCCCTTCTAAGCGCGCGCAACACACACGTGGTTCGGCAGTCCTGCTGTGGCCGGCTGAGTTTCAGGACTGATGCCTGGAACCACTAGTTGACTTTCTCCAGCCGATGGTGCAGCCGTTGGAATGGCGGACATCTCTCCAACGCAGTTGTGCTGTATCATCTCACCTACGAGAGCGCGTCTGGATGCGTCATGCAAAACAGGAACAAAACATGAGGTTGACTCAAGCCCTTTCCTTCACCCCGCCCTCGATTGACTTCACGCTTTCGACTTGGCACAACAAGGCTCCATGATCAACATACTGTGGGATGCGTCAGTGGACCACGATTGAATTGATTGTTTTCCAAAAAGATGTTTATTAGCTAAGAAACCTGTCTAAAACACTGTTGTTGGAAAGGTATTACTGCATTGCAATTCTGCTCAGCGGGCCCCTCGTGTTCCATGGGAGAAACATGTTACCGGCAACCACAGCGAATGTCATCACGTTGCCCCACTCCCCTGCACACCCCGCCCAGGCCGAAGCAAGTTCGGCGAAGCAACAACATGTTTTTGACAATTGCAAGAGTGTTGTCACTGCTTTGCGCCCCCCATCCTGATGCGCATCCCCGAGTAATGCAAAAAATACTGGACAAACGGGCCAAAAGCTCACAGCCGCCAATGAAGTTGTGAGCCCAAACAACAAAACATGCGAGGCTCCAAAAGAAGCAAACCTGGAAACTGAGAATGAACCTGGGAAAGTCCTCCACTGAGTTCACGTTCAGTGCCGCTAGGGATTGCTGCAAACGCTGCCAATGTAAACGTGTGTATATAGACTAATAAACCAGTGAATACATGTGACTCGTAGCTTCTTGTTACTAGTAGTTATGCCAGGAGCTACTAGTAGCGTTCTTGCTCCTAGTAGAAATGCCCTTGTTACTTGTTACTAGTAGCTTCTTCTCGTTAGTCACTTAGGGTGCCTGTCATCAAACGGGGCGATGAACCATACTGAAAAACAGCCACATCGGGGAGCCCCGAGAAGCGATGCCCTGCGCCGCTTCTCAACGCGCCGCCGTGCCTGCCACGATGTCCCGTGCGGCCTCCGAGTTCCGGTTCACCGAGCGGAAGACACCGGTGGTGGTGAGGGGATAGCCCACCGCACTCCTGGAGGTTCAATTCATGGACAGTCACCATCAACATCCATGAATACTGTTTATGTTCAAAACATGTCTTATTCTACATCACCCTCGGTATGGATGAAACAAATGTTCAAAACATGCCACCGTCTTCCAAACACTGCGAGCAAATAGTAGGATATCTCTCTTGCAATCAACATAATCAAGTGCAATTGTTGCCTTCCTTGAGCAGTAGTCCAAGCTGTCACAAAATGAATGTTTGCTCCTCTGCGGCATTTCCAGGAAGCACCCGTAGACTCCTCGATCAAGCATCGACGCACACAATCTTAGTAGCTAAGCTGGATCTGACTTCCATCACGAAGTTGGTAGGATTTCCAAGATGCATCGGAGGGGAAATGAGGCGGCCATCGGATTTTGCTCTATCATGCTGCGTGCTTTTGCATGCCCTTGTTTCAATATGTTTCAATCTGTTCTAAAAATCGACCGCGGTCTCTCTCTCTCTCTCTCTCTCTGGGTGTCCTTTGAGGTCAGCAACAGGTAGCCAAATCCGTTCATTTATGGATCATCTGATCATGGGACCGGTTGGTCATCTCCCATCAAGGGCATCCCATGCAATAGAAATCAACAGAACCTAGTTGGACATAATGATGTGCTGGGAAGGTGGACATGGGCCGAGAACAGCGTCAACAATGTGCTGATGGGCTACGGCGGCCAAGGGGCTGGAATACTGCCAGTATTGGCACAAGAGGTACGACCTGCATTCAAGCTTGCAGTGTTTAGCACCTTCTTGCCAGTCACCATAGACGGTCCCACCTTGGCTGGGGTTCCATGCTCAAAACGGCTCAGTCACTGGTGTTCAGCAACCTTGTAACCTTGTGTGTTGTTCAACTTGTTCAACTGTTTTTTCGTCCGAAAGGGGCAAGCATGTGTGCAAACGCAATCCATCGACAGCACCGGTGGTGATTTTTGCTTCGGAGGTCAACACCTTCGGTGACTGATCGCAGGTTCTTTAGCAAGTGATGCAAACATGCAGAAAGAACACTGTGCAACAGGCCCCGGCTTGCTCCCAACAATCCAGCATCCGACCCATCTGAGACTCTGAAGCCCCTCTAGACTCTAGACTCCCAAAATGAAAATCTTCAAACCAATTGAATCCTCTGCTCTCTTTGGTGCTTGAAGTTCTGTCTACTATTTTCGTGATAGGCTTTTGATTCTCATCCACAGTTAGGGCCAACTCACAGTTAGAGCTTCTCATTGTTCGACACCGATGCTGGTCCAAAGCACCGAAGCTGTTGTGGAGGCCCAGGATTTGCACACCAACCTGGTTGGCCGTTCGCTGTGGAGCCATGGCTCTGAGCCACGGTGACAAATGTGGACAAGGCAAGGCAGAACAAGGAGCACCAATTCTCACAAAGCACCCGACAAATCCCTGCCACATCCTGCCACAAACAGGAGAATCCCCCTTCCCCCGTCCGCGGCCAAACTGTATATAAAACAATTAGAATCTAGAGGACTTGATAAGGGTTAGTGGGTGTAAGTACAGTAAATGAACCGATAATGACATATATATATATATATTATGTATATAAGCATATTCAATATAATTTTTATATGAGTATATTGAAATTACAGCAACCAACATCTTCTTCATTCTTCATTCTTCATAGCTCAAATGCCGGAAGTCGTGGCATTGACATTCAAAGAGATTTATAGCAACCGGGAGGGCTAATTTCTTTGTTGCAAAGCGTGCTTTGCGCCTGAGGCCGTTAAAACTACGTCGACCGTCAAGGTCATTGTGGTAGTCATTGTGGTCCATCTAAGTTAGACCTACTGACCTTTCAGTCAGATTTACTCCTTTCCCTGTTGAAATTGCACATTTGGCTTGCACAAGCGCAAAACACTCCTCCCAAAGGTTGAAGATCCAAAGAAAGTTGAACAATGTTGAACATCTAGAATCTAGAATTCCAACACTCGCCTCGCAAAAAGGACAACACAGTGCACCCCAAAATCACGACAGTCTGTGGCCACACAAGATTTGTGCAAATCTCCGATGCAGTGAATCACAAACAAAACCCGTCAAGTTCAGGGAGCGTCATTTGGAGACCTCCCCACCACATGTTTAGCGAATCGGTCGATCTCTTTCGGCCGTGGGATGCGGGTGAGGTTTTTTCGTCAATGGTTTCGACATCTGCAGGCTGAGCGACTGTCTGCATCAAAACTCTATATGTTCCATGTTGCAGTCGTTGTGCCCGGCTGGGCCTGATGCCGTTGCTATTGTGGGAACCTCAGGTCAAAGAGCCCCAGTTCTGCGTGACTTAGACGGAACCTGCATCTCCAAAGACGGAACCTCAAAACTGGAAGGCCCAGTCAAAGCTGAGATGCAGTTGTGTCCCAGCATTCCATGCCAGCAAACGGCCGCACCATAGGCGTCACTAGAAGATTCGATGGCCCAAACAGAGCACAGAGGGGTCAACATGCACCGTGTCTGGCACGTCTCTCCACCTTAGCTCACATGAATGGAAACAATAGGTTTGACATGATTTGACCAGCGGCTACTGTGTAGCAGGACTGCAGTGTTTTCAACATTTTGGGAGGCCATGAGTGTGTCACTCCACTGCTTGGAGGAGAAGGGTGATCATCAGAGGTTTACAACAAGTGAAATTGAGCTCTACTTTCAAAGTCCGGAACATCTATCATTCCCCATATTCCCCTCCTTCAGGTACCAAGGTCTTCATGACGATGCAAAAGCACAATAAACTCTCAGCCAAGGTCCCTCAATAGAACGAGGTCATGATATGTCATGATTAGTTTCTACAACCGATGGCTTGCCACTTGTCCCCCCAAAAGACCCTTGAAGATCTAAAGTCAAAACCGGCCCGTCTGGCCGTGTTTACGTATGCTCATGGCAGCCTCTTAGATCCACGATCTTCACCATTCCGTCGCATTGACCAGGCCATCCATCCTGACCAGAAGGCACTACCCTGCCCAGAACGAATCCCCATCATGGCGGGAAGGTGGCCCCACTCCTTGTAAGGAGCCAAAAAGCCACTACATGCCACTTCATGCGACTAATTACTGATCATCAAATCAAGTGCTGCAGCTTCCCCGTGTCCTCTGTATCTTCAAGGACGCTGGCAGTTTGATTGCGACAGCGCGATGGAAGCCCATCTGACCATCCTCGCTGTCGTGAGTGAATCAGTCACCGTCTGCGGAATGTGATTCTAACCCACACCTCGACACTCGACACACATTGGCACCCATCTTGCAAAACATTGGAGAACCATCCCCTCAACATTGTTCATCTGGATTTTAGTCTATTTGTCGCCTAGGCCTGCAAGTGGCTCTAGTCTTCCACATTTGCTGAGCGACAAAAGCTTGTGCCAATATGCATGCTAAGGATGTCGGCTCAACTGTAAATGCCCATGTATTGTTGGAGGACCTTCATTGCTCCGGTGTAGGACCAGCTGCCCATCAACCAGGCTATTCACCTGGTCCTTCCTCTCATTGGCAGCCAAGGATCTTGGCCAGCACTGCAAAGGCGTCGGTTGCACGCCACCAGGCCAAGCCTGGCACAACGATGTTGGCACGTAGAAAGGGCACGTTGAACTGGTAAACAATTCTTTCACCATTCTGGGAGGCCCTTCCGTTCTAAAGGATGGACACATCCGTCACCACTGACTTGCAAAGGTGCATCACAAGTTCAGGGTCTTTGCTAGATGATTTCTAGCACTGTTTAACCCCAACACCTGCGCCCATTCATGTTCAGAACGAGGCCAAAAGAAACAAACATACTGATCATACTGTTTAATTCATACCTTTCTGACAGTCTGCTCCTTCAAATTGGTTTTGTTGGAATCAGGCACATTATGGTCACAAGGGATGAGAACGAGCCAAACCGATTCCTGGGTCAAGCATCCACACATGTAGTGGATGCAACATAGTGATAAGAAAACACTGGGTTCATGTATATAAGGGCGTGTCATACAAACAGTGTCATTCAAACACTTTTTGCCTGAGGCTTGCACAACCTTGCGCAAACCTTGCGAAAAGCTCGCGCACGTGTGGCCCCAGGCAAGTCTTGAGATACCCAATTTGCGGCTCGGGGATTTGACACAAAGTATGGCACCACAGAAACATCTGAGGCGCCAGGCGGGGCCGCCCCTCCGATTTTTGAGAATGGACCAGCTGCTTTCTTTCTACTTCCGTGGTGCCCGTAGGCCGTTGCCAACGGGCCACTTGGGGTGCAGCCAAGGAGTCCAAAATTTTCCAAAGGGCCCAACCAGTCAACCTCCCTCGCGCAATCCATCTGTGGAGCAAAGCCTGAGCTTGCTGGGAAATTTGACCCAGGATTCTTCTGGGAAGGGTTTACCATTGCCTGGCGGGTAGCCGCAGACTGCTCTCATTCCTGCCAGCCTCCATGGTCTGAGGGGGCGTCTCTGCAGGAAAGGAGGGATCCGGCAGCGCAGTGCACGCAGGGTTCAGGCTTGGACACTCCTGGTTGGCTGGTGTTGCTGGGATTTGCTCACAGCGAGCCGAACCCACCAAAAAGATCCAAAAAAATTGATCTCCCGTCACAGGTGATCTCCAATTCAAATCACACATATCTCATCTTGCACTATTTAGGCATGCTGGGTCGTTGAAACAATTGACAATCATGGCGGCAATCTGCGTTTCAAACAAAGGGATTGACAATGGCAATTTGCCACCAATTCAGAGTACAGCACCCATCAAAGTACATCTGAAGCGAGAAACATTAAACCACTGATATCCAGCAGCCTCCTTTAATATCGACAAATCTTGATGTCTTTTGTCTTAACCATTTTTTGGTGTCTTCCAGGCCAGAACACTCGGTGGGCGGTGGGCTTCCTTCCAGGCACTACCACTTTCACCACCAAACAGGAGCTCCAAACTGGAATCCATCCGGTGCTGCTAGCTGCTGCATATGAGGAGCAAAGGCCATCCTGTCCAATTGCCCTATAATATATATATATATATCAGAATGCAGGAGCCTCACATAGCGCTTACTGATGGGCTTTAGCCCTTTTGGAAGAACAATGCAAGGGTTGTACACAACAAATGTGATCACTACTATATCGGACATTCAAAGGAACCGACAAAACGATGCCATGCGAAGTCAATTTTGGAAGGCATCGAAACGTTGCTTCAACGAAGTCATGGAACACCATGGAACGCTGATGCAAACCCATGGCCTTTCATGGGCTATCTTTCCACGATTCACATTCAAAGACGGACCAATGAAAATCCGTGTGATGTAGGTCACTAATTAGTTCACAGGGTCAGTTTATGCTGCTCCAAGGTGGCCACCTGTGGCCATTGGGATAGGTTCACACTGCTGAGGTGGTACAGCGACACAGCTCTGGCGGGTCGGTACTGCTGAAAGCCTGGGAGGGCCAACCACTCGCTTCGCAAGACCAGCGAGCTGTCGTATCCTGGTGATGCGTGATGGTCCGTGATGACCTGAAGCTTCTTGGCAAGCTCCTCATTTATAAGAGCTTAAATCCTTTTAGCGAGGTCTCAAGTCTCAACAAGTCTTTTTCTGAAAGTCCACCGGTCCGAGGTCTCCCAGCTCCTTGGGCCCTGCAATGGCGCCTTGGATGGCATAGAGCACCCCACCGTGGCCCAAATAGCAAGCCCCACTGACCTGGGGCCGTGCCAGCTGAGTTCAACTGTGGACAAATCGACAGGCGCGCTATGCAAAGGATTCGGCGCTGGGCTGGTTCCGGTCTGACCACCTGGATGAACTGTTGTTCCTTAGAGGCCACATGAGGATATTCTATGGCGTATGGAATCATATGGCCACGATCTCTGGTCAAACCAAACCAACTTGCACAAAAACATCAAGTATCACCAAGTTGCACTGGCACTATCTTGACGAAGCCTATACTTAAAGGGGGGGTTTGGAACCAGGACGGGCAACCCGCGTGCACTGTGGAGCCATTGGTGGCAACACGCCCTGAATTGCCTGGACTTGGACCTGCGTTATGGCCCCCCAATGACTGATACGTAGTATGTAGCGTTTCCGGTCCCAAAATGTCTCAAACCAGGCGGTTGAACAATCATTTCTTTTGGATCTGATGATGAGCTCAGTGAGTTCAAAGCCAGTGCCGAATGCTGCCAGGCTGCCGGGTAGTAACCAAAGTTGGAACACCCAATGGTATTCTTACACTGCATCTGGCACCTGGAGCTGGGGAGAGTGAAATGAGTAGCAATAACTAGTAGCACCGCAAACAGGATTGACATCTCGATTAAAAAGTAGAATCTGCCAGAGCACTTCTCTTCTGGCCAAGGCAGTCCTATAGTCTATGCCATGAAAGGAAATGAAGGCTTGTCATTGTAGATCCAGGCTACCTATGACCCATGAAAGTTCAAAACTGTTCTAGACCTGCTTCTGCGGCCAGAAGTTGGGGGCAGTCCAAACACAGTTGTACATTGGTGGATCTCAAGATCAGCCAACATGAGTGTGTTTTTGCCATGCGTGAGTTAGCGCTTTGTCAAACGGTTAATACGTCATACAATAGATTACTGGGGTGCGACCGCTACTTTCATGACCTTCAAAAAAAAGCCCGCTTCAAAAATGACTCGGTCTGCCGATGCCCCGATGACTGTTTCCACTTCAGTGTGGTGCAGCTCGTTCATGTTTCATACTTTCTAAGATTGCGGCTTGACAGCAACACTGGTTGCAACACAGGTTGATGCCTGAAGTAGCAGCTGAGGGGATACTGGAGGGGATGTATTCGACAAGTGGGGCCAACGGTTGGCACATGTTTCGGGCGCTAACTTCCAGTTCCAAAAAAGGCGGTTCGAGTCGAGTCTTGTTGTCCGTAGCGTCATTGCTCCTAGTAGAAATGCCCGTTGCTCCTAGTAGCTTCTTGTTACTACTCGAAAGAGAAACGGCATGGCATAGGTATCCGCGCGCAAAACGCACCCGGACAGGTCTCACTTCGACTCAACGCAGAACAGGCGCTCATCCGCCGAAACGACGTTGAAGGGGTTCCCGGTGATGTTGCTCAGCGGGTTCCTTGGAAAGTGTCCATTGCATTGTTTGGGATCTATCTATATATGGGTATCCAAGCAAACTAGTGATTTGCATGGGTGTTGTCTCGGGATTTCTCATCTCACATGTCGATGGTCTTAGGGTTCCTAGGAGGGTACAGTATATCATCCAGCTAGGTACTCTGGGTGTCACCCACGAGTGTAAGGACCAAGGACTGACAATCTATGAGCCCCTCATCCCTACCCCACTAAGCCTCTAACCGTCTTTGCGTTTTGTCTATTCCCTGCCCCAGCCTAAATCTCAAGAGTCTTTCATAGAACCCTTTGGTGAAACAAACACTGCGCCATCCACGGGCAGCTCAGCTGCGTAAAAGCAAAACCATAATGAAAGCAGCCCAGTGTGTCGGCAACCACTGGAATCAAAAGCCTCGGCGGCAGTCATGGTTCGGCTCACCACGATCAAACACCTTCGGATCATCCCACAACCAATGGCCAATCCCAAAAGAACAAAGTGAGAAAGTCACCACTGACTGTGTTTGATTGAGACCCCCCCTCTCTCTCTCTCTCTCTCTCTGGCGAGCACGACTCGTCCCGGAGTCAGCCCACACTTTCCTTGCTGCAAAATCGGATTGACGGAAACTGGGCAGTAACAGGTGCCTTACTAGTAGTAACAAAAAGCTAGTTACTACTAGGACAAGGAGCACAACTTCCAACAAAAGTAGCCCTCGCAACCACGCCATGAGGTAGCGAGGCCGTACCGTCCGCGCGGACGGAGGAGCGGCTCGGGCCAAGTGGATGGCCCTCGAAAGCATCGACTTCGGCTTATCGAATCTTATCGAAGTGTCAAATGTTCATGTTTTGTGTGTAGAGGATTGTAGACCTTGTAGAGGTCCTTTCGCAGCACTCTGATGATGATGACGATGACGATGACGATGACGATGACGATGACGATGACGATGATGATGATGATGTGTAGTAAGGGTCACCCTTCAAACCATCGAAAAGCAATTCAGAATTGTTTGCGGGTAATGGGTTTGGCTGCCAACAAAAACCGTCATGGACTCCTCTTCAACAAACCATCACGTGGGGCATCTTAGATGCGCGAGAAATGAGTGAGCCGTTTGCGTGCTTAAATGCAAAAGCTCCGTTTGGGCAGCCTGTTTGGTTCTTTCATTTTTTCCTTTTCTGGGGTGTGCATTCACACATCAAAGAAAACTTTGGGAACTGTGGTCACTGCGGGTTCAGCAGTTTGCAGGCGGTGCACGGCAAAGGGACAGTATCAAAGGTGTTCAGAAGGGATGCTGAATGCAAACATTAGTAAATAGATGTGACCAAAAGAATACCTTTAAAATCATCTGGAGAACACGTTGGGCGCTGTGTTTGTGCCGTCATGCTAAACCTTCGGGAGTGCTGACCAAGGTTGTACATGACATACGGATGAGTTAAATATAAAACATAGCCCACTCCGGCCTGCACACACGATGATTTCCGTACAATCGCCTGAATAGGCAACGCGAAAAGTTCTTGGCCTTTCTGAACGAGAAACCCACCAGATTGATTCGGGTTTTTTAGTTGGCCTTCCTGGTCCCATGTTTGAACCTCTCAGTGCCCTGCGCCCATCCGAGCCTGCAAACTAGCTGCCAGGGCGTGCAAGGTTAGCATTGGCCTCAGGCATAAAAACAGCCAACCCTCTTGCATGATCTCTAGACACTCTCTCTCTCTCTCTCATCTGAAGGTGGAGGGATCGTTGGTGTCCACATTCCGAGAACTCTGACGCGCCCCAGATTTGCACAAAGCCTTTTCTCCATGCGCGGCGGCACAAGTCTCAGCCTGCGTGTCTCTGCGCAAAGTCACACATTCCTGTGGCAGCGCTCCTCGATTTCGACCAACGCAGTTTGGAAGAAAACAATCGGGTCGAAACCATAAATCATAGAACCTAGCTCTTGGGCCGCAACATAAATAAGGAACAATTCTATCCATGTGCCCTGTATCCCCTCATATATGGAAGCAAGTCCTCTTACACTTTTATCACCATTCGTTTTATTGGAGGACATTTACAAAGGCATGCCAATAAGCCTCGGAACCCTTTGAACCGGCAGGGTGGACAGTTGGGATCTTGCCAAGACGCTGCTGACCGGCTGTCGTGTATGTTCGGCACAAATATCACATTAGCAGCAGCAACCATTATCCAAATCTGGACATATCCTGACAATGATTCTACAACACTACTACAGTATATTATACCATATGTGCTTTCCTTGTAATCCACACGCTAAGTGATCACGAACCCGCAGCTTCCTTCACCTGAGTGCTTCATCCAGCATTGTTTGAGCAATAATCCAAATCAGGGTTGTGGCCAATCGCATCTTTTACATGCAAAACCATTGAACAAACCGTTGAAATGCAAAACACATTGAAATTGAACAAGACCACTCTGACACCCTCCAGCGCACTGCTCTGAGGCATTGGTCGAAACCGGAGACTGCATGATGCCCTTGACGGGTAGAGCTGGAAAGCCGTGCTAATGAGCTGCTAAGCTGCCAAGTCTGCTAAAATCCACTAAGCAGGGTCGGATCTTGGAATGACCGCGTAGATCTCCAATGATCTCCGGCCCCTCTAAGAAGCTGCCCCTTTCAGTCGCATAGACTTGCCGAAGGTCGCATCAGTCCATGCGGTGTGACCATAGAGCCTTTGTCCAACTAGACAACTCAAACTAACAGTCAGTTTTCCAAACACAAATTGTTCATGCTCCATGTCCATGCGGCAGGAGGACAATGCTCATGGGATGACCCACACGAACAAGGGCCAGGACCGCAGGTCGCTCGTGCACAGGAAATCGTGAAGCTTCCTGGCTCGACCCACCGTCCTCAGCCTTGTCAGTTCAGGGGAACTCCCACAAGCCTAGGCAAATTCTAGGTCCTAGTCCTAGGCATCTTCCGGACCTCTGGTTCTCTCTTTGGTCAAGCATGGCAAGACGTTTGTTTGACTGGACGGAATTTGATGCATTCAGCAAACCTGGAGAATTTCTCAGCTCCTGTAGCCTGCAGTTGCTGTCATGTCCTTGCTCCATGAAACTGAAACTTGTTCAACATGTTCAAATCCTTACATCTTCTTATCACTCGACCAAGGACACAGCTTCTTAGCACCGGGTCCAACTTCAGAATATATATGCAATTTATGCAGGTGGTAGGACAGGAGTCACGTGTTGAAAAAGGATTTTCGAACAGGGGGGTTGAACATAGAGAAAACGGATTGTTCCCCTCGGTGTTTCGATCCGAATTGTATCATAGGGGGCGATCACCTATGCACATCTACACTTCTTGGATATTTGCGGCATTGTGTGAAAAGAGGGCATGTGTGACATAGACATAGAGGGGGCAGACTGGTCCAGAATCTAGGCCAAATGTTTGCAAAGCATGGGCCAGCAATGCTGCAATAGCGGCAATCAGGAGCAACATTGCAATCATTGTGGGAGGGGTCTATGGGGTTAATGGTGTCGTTGCGTTTGGCTCCAGCCGCTCTCTGGGCCCTGTGCCGCATACAATTCCACGAGAAAGGAATCTTTCCAATATCTTTCCCTTCATTTTCCAGACTGTTGATATGGATAAAACAAACCCATACATCCGTGTAGGCCCTGGCTGTTTGATTTGTTTTGTATGACCGGGAGGGTCTGCAATGTCACAGGCCTTATCCCAGGAAGCTCTAGCAGCCCTAGTGCAAATTGAATGAAGCCATGGGGTCGAACAATTCTTAGGACATCGGGGAGAAATCTCTGGAAGATTCTGGAAACTGATTTTCCTGATAATGTATGAAAGCAAGGGAGGGGGAGCTGCCCTGAGGAAGCATACTGTTTAAAGGTAAATGTATGCAAGGGGGCGGGGGACATCCATTATCATCATGAAACTTACAACTTCCAAGTAAGAAATATAAAAATCACTTCCTCGGGAATGAAATCTGGAAGCCATGAAATGCACATTATTTTTAAAATCGGGGGTGCACTGCACCCCCCATCAATATACATAAACTACTTTATATGGATATATGTGACCCGGTGATTCTTACTGTTGTTCATTTGCATTCTTAGTGTGTTAACAAAACTGCTCATTGTTTATTTGAACTTGGTAAGTAAACCACCCTGGAGGAGGAGCAAATAACTGGCAAACTGTCCCTGGCAATCCCAGCTTCAATAATTATTGTTCCAGTAAGCGGCTTGGAATGAATTCATCTTCTGAAGTCGTTCTCTGCAGTTGCCTGCATTCCGGAGAATCGAGAGTGCCTGACAAACGCACGTACCCATTCAAGGGCTTTAATCAGGGATTGTAGCACCTGCAGAGTTCATAATGTCATGAGTTCGCCCACCCATGACATTCATGGCCCTGCAGGTTTTCATAGATGTCTCTGGACGCCAATGCCTCCAAACATGCTGTATCCATCCTTCAACTTCCGACGAGGTCCGGTTTTAGTGAAACCCTGCTCTCTGGGGTGCTCATGTGAAACGGGAGGCGCTCTCTGACTCCTCTGGGCCAAAACCAAGCAGCGTCGGTCAGTCATGGCATTGAAAATGCATTGGAACACGTAAAGGCGTACACTTTCGCAACCCTTCAAGAGTACACAAAAAATGCTAAAGCATACCAAAAGGCTTGGGACTGTGGTCACCCCTAGGTCTTTCAATCTTGATCTTAAGATGTCGTCGTTATTTTGACCAACAATCACATGTTGCCCAACTCTAAGTCTTGGGAAGCCGATCTCCCAACGCCGGCGATCTCTGAGTATTGTATGGGCCCAGTCGGTGATAAAGAACTTCTTGAAAATGGTCAACTAATGTCAACTATATCAAAATGTTCCATCGTAAGAATGCGGCCAAGGCCGCTGCGTACACATGTGTCAGTATACCGAAGTATATAACATTTTGAAAGCTGTGCTACATCAAGGATTTATATAGTGCCCATGTGGACAAAGACACAAGCTTTCGGTCGAAGTTTGTAGCTGTTGGGGGTCCGAAATCCAACCAGAACGCACATTTAGTTTAGCGTCATGAGGAGCACATCCGACAAGTTTGGGGGGGACACGCTACTGCACTGACGCCAGTGCTGCGAGTCTTTTCGAGCCCGGCACAAGTGCCTCGTGGGTCCCAGGTACCCCCTGCCCAGTTCCCAATATTACAATATTCTTTTGAGTTACTAATGGTACTAATCGCAATGGCCTCCAACCTATTAGCGATGGCCTCCAACCTAGGAGCAGCGGCCTCCAACCTATTAGCAACAAGAACTTGAATGAACTTGAGCAATCCCGCAACATAAGCTGCATTCTTGCCTCTAACCTCCATGAAAATGCAGCATTCAAACCACTTCACACAAAACCATGCGACTTAACACAAGTGCAAACATCTGTTATGCAGTTTGTGGGATGAACATCATTCGTGAAACCATGGCAGCCAAGAACATGCAAGAAGGAAACCTTCCAGCAAAGCAATTGCTGATTAAGAAAGGAAGGTTCCCCAAATAGTAGTTTGCAAGTTGGCCCAGAACAAAACAGGCAACACCCTTCTATGAGGAACAGGGGGAACGGTGGCGTGTGCGATGCATGGTAGAACCGTTGAACGTCCTCTGCTCATGTTCTCCTATACACATGCCGCTAGCAAAGTCGATTCATTCCTAATTAGGTTGTTCAGGAGGATCAATTGAGAACTTTCGCACATCTACTTCGTGCCTGTCTTCCGCGCGTTTCTGGGTCCAATTCATGTCACACCAAAGTCCTCAGCGTAGGTGCTGCTCTCCAGCCACTGCGGCTGTCCATCCCAAACCGCCTGATCAGAGCCAAATGTCGACAATGACTCAAGCTTCGTTCTGTGGGCAAAGAATCTGTCGTCTTCTCAGCAAATGCATCAATTTTGCATCAATGGGCTGCTTTAAACAGATTTGCATCACTGACGTCAGGAGTATAAACGCTGTAAATGGCCATGATCATTGTTGATCATCTCGTAGGATCGCCACAATTGGGTTTGGCAGATTGGGAAACCCCGGGGCAGCTGGTCTTTGAAGGACTTGCTTTCCACTTTAATCTTATATCTTGGGTGGGCACCCCATCTCCGACAGCAAGCACGCAAGTAAGCCAGCCATTCTTCTTACAAGATCTTTACAAACCTGTCTCACTTGTTCAAACCACCGGGAAATCCAAAGTGTTTCACCCTCTCAGGATTGGAACTGACATGAATCAACACCGGTAAATCACGCCGACAACCCAAAGCTTGAAGGGCTGCCTCTGGAACATTGAAATCGATCTGTGCCTCTTCCTGCTGCCACCCGGACTGTGACCGGAAGACGCCTGAACTGACCGGAAGACGCTGGTCGCCAGACTCTCCACGGCCGGATTTTTGTCTGGATGCCACTGGAGTCGTGCTCGCTGCAAAGTCGCCTGAAGACAAAGCGTGAAGACAGGTTGGGTCGAAAGGCGGTAGTATGAGAGGATCGGCTCAGCTCTTTCTGGACAAGTTGAAAAGGCGCCATAGCCACTGAAATCCAAAATGTTGTGAACTCACTATGGGCTTGGGGTGGTTATCTACTTGAGGCTACCTTACCCTGCTGAATGCCAGCCTGATCCTGGACAGTCGAGTCTAAGTCCAACCGCCCAGCCTTGCAGCTTGGACAGCTGGAACCTTTCTGTTCACCTGGGAAACGCTGATCAAGGCAACCCTCCAAAAGGAAAGATCTCGAGATTCCTCACTTCAGCTGTTGGTACCTTACCCTTGGTATCCTTCTGAAAGCTACAACTTTTGTTTGAGCTCCCAATGCCTCTCCCCTTACTAGACTGACCAAAATTAACTCTGCATATCTCTGCATGAAGAATTGCAATTGACAGCCCACAAAACTATAAATAGTAGCACCACCTTGTTCGGCAAATGTCCGACAAACAGTTTTCTTCACACTCAGCCATAGAATCAATCCTGTAGGGTGGCGCACCAATCATCCAAACAAAACACCCCCAGCAGTCAACGGTCATGGCATTCTTTTCTTCGCAAAAACTGTTGGGGCAATGTACCGCCGATTGACCCTTGGACGGGAATTGTGAAACGCCCCCTGTGAAAAGATGTTACCCAACATGGATGCTGTCACTCACCCCTGAAACTTACATGGCGTAGCGGGAGCCAACTTCGTCGAACCACCTTATAGCCAACCTCGGTCGGTCGGTCGGTCGGTCGGTCGTTTTCGTTCCTTTCACATACCCAACGAACTTCGTCCTCGCGGCGTTGGTCCCACACCCAACGAACTGCATCCTTTCTGCCAAGGTCGCCTAAACGGCACTTCTCACAAAGCATCCTCTTGAGCTCATGGAGGTGGTTCCGGACCTCCGGTTCCGTGAGCTGTTCGTCTAGGCGGGCTGACTCCCTCAGGTTCCGCACATAAAGGTTGACTGTTTTATATGCTGTGTCGATCTGTTCGTCTGAAACCAATCCCCCAAAAAGGTACGGGAAAGGTTATCCACTGACTGGGGTGGGCGGGTAACAACCGAGGAGTTGCTGCTTGCTTTCTCTCAGCGCTTTGCAGGTACTGACTTTAACAATTGACAAGGGAGGGACAAGATGGAACAATATGGGACAATAGTATATCACCTGGAGTCGATGCCTCTTGATTCTGCAAACGTATGGGCTGATGTGCGAACGCAATCCAAGTCGCGCGCTGGGTTGGAGCCCTCAAAAAAACACCGTGCGCGCCTCTCGGTCTCTCATCTTCTCCTCAGATCTCACATGCTGGCAGCGTCTCCGATACCGAACAGCTATCTGCTAAGTAGGGCCATGGCAGTGGAAAGAAGTGTATGGGAACAGTTTGACCTCCCAACTATCCGGTGGAGAATCATCGTCCAACTCATGGGGCATCGAGTTGGAGAAGTATAAACATGTCTAAACGGCGGTTTTTAAAGCTACAGTAATTGATACTTACGTTTTGCCGACCCCTACAAAATTCGCCCTTTCAGGTCAATGACTTGCATCATGTGGTCTGCGTTGCCCTGTTCTGAACTGCAGCTCTTCTTAGTAGCCCTTATGACATATTATGATATCATTTCGGGATATGGCAGGTTTCTAGAGTCTTGGCCCCGGGGATAGTTTAACGGACGAAAAGACTTGCAGCCCTTATCATCGGGGATGTTCTCGCCGGTGTATCACCGAAGGCGATCGCGGCGGGGAAGTGTCTATTGGAGGTCTCGCAGGGCGAACTTGCTGGATCAGCGCATTTACGAAGAAAATATGTTGTGATAATGAAGGTGATGCAGCAATGATAAGAAGGAAAATGGGCACGCCCAGCCACTGACCGCGTTAACATTGTTTAGCTCAATCGTCGCACCGGTCGCACTATAGTACCCATAACAATGCCATGTCCAGCGGTGCTCACACGTCCTTAGCCTTTCATGTTCACTGAAAACACCTCAGAAACCCTGAAAACAAAAATATGCCTGTCTGCCAAAGCAGCGACTGTGCCCAGCAAACGCTGCACCCAGCCCTCAAAGCCAAGAAAATATGTACTAAATAACGGCTATTCAGGACACAGGCACGCTTCGGTCTGGTGAATGATATTTACATATATTTACCGACTGTAGCACTGGCACTGTAGTACATATATATGAGGGGTCGCAGAACGTCCGCACGCGAGAGCACACGCATGAGAACACACGCATGTACGCAAACACATGAGACAACACATGTGAGACCACAGGTCTGAGAGGGCTCAAATATGAGAGCACACACATTAGAGCACACATGACAAAACACGGAGCACATATATGAGAGCGCAGGTGTGGGAGGCACACCTATGAGAGCACACGTCAAGGAGCGTATGTGAAACCACACAGGTGAGAACAAATTTATGAGCATAGTTTTGCATGCACTTCGAGGTTCACAAAGCGCTTAGAACTTCGAGGTTTACAACGCGCAGCGCCTGCCACGAAATATGCAAATCATATCACATCACGATTCACATCACGCAGCCCTGCCAGAGCACCCGAACAAACCCAGAGAGTCACGACTACCGGAAAAACACCAAATGTGACCAAACTGTTTGGGAAAGTCTGGTCACGCTTCTTGCATATACAATTTTCGGTCAGGTGGCTATATACAGTAGATCTCCATGGCACTCCACTGCGAAGCCTTTTCTCAGCGCTTTCTC